GGGGGTGCAGGAGAATGTTTTCTGTTGCTTTTTTTTAGTTTCGTTGTTTTGGTAAGTGTTTTTTGGCACTCGCAACTGCATAATAAGGTCATATGAGCGCGCGGGACACCGAAACATTTTCAGTTCTCAGGGATTTTTGAATTTAGCCTGCGTGGCGGCCGAAGCTTACTCATATCGACTTTGGACCATCAAGGGATCTTTAACGCGCAAAACTTGCACATTGGACCTCTGAGGTTTTTTCGCCCTTATCCGAGAAGGCTAGGTGTAGATCTTTCGTAACAGAAAGGGGGGGGGCTGTCTTGATGTTAAAAAGTTAGTGAATCATGAATGTAAGGATAGGTGGGTTTTTTCTTTTTTCTTTATTTTTTGGAGGGGGATGGCTAAGGGGTTATGTGAAGTATGGGAGGTTGGACAGACTGGGGGAGGGGGATGTATTTGATGTTAAGGAGGAACTGAGTGACAGAACAGTGGATTGTGAGGTGGGAGGGGAGAGGGGGGGGTTGTGATCGAGTAGGATATTTGATGTTAAGGAGGCACTCGATGTTGGGAGAAAGGACTGACGGGGTAGGGGATAGGAGGGGTGGAGGAGGAGGAGGGGAGGAGGATGGGTTTAAGGGGTAAGGATAGGGATTTGAGGGAGGGAGGGGGTTGGATGGATGTTGGTTGGTGGAATATTTGACGTAAAGGTGGGACTGGAAATCGGGATGGGGGGGGGGGGTAATTCAAGTCGAGGAAGTCTGGTTGACAGGGTAAAGGGTGTTGCAGGGAGGGAGAGTTAGAGTATTTTAGTGTTCTAGCGCCTATAAATGGTCGCTAGCACTGTATGCTTCACAGGAAGTTTAGGTTGCTTGAAAATGTTAATGCTCTCAGGTCTGCTGGGGTAATAATATAGATTGTGAAGCTCATAGAGCTTGCTGTTGAGCGGGGATTTGCGTTATACAAATTGTAACGCTTTCTATTGTTATTATAAGGGTTTTGCGTACTATGGGGGAGGGGATGGGGGTGAATAGGAGCGCTAGTTTTACTGTAAGTTAGAGTTATGCGGCACTTGCAACACAAATACGTCGCATTAATGTCGTGCATTAAAGGCCCTACCAAAGAGCAATAATAAAATCACGCAAAAGAAGTAGGGATACCGATATTAGATATAGGATAGGAACGAAAGACAAAACGCACCCTGGAGCACCCACCAACCACTAGTTAGAGGAGTAATGAGTGAGGTTGTGAGGGTGTGTGTGTGGGGGGGG